ACTGGCACCCTGGTTGACATTGGTTGACCCTTTCAACATGACCAAGAATAGGCATTTTTCGGGATGTCAACCTGTCATTTTCGTTCATTTTCTGGGGGGGGCGGCTACGGACCCACAGTCACTCCCTTTCAGCTCGAGCGGCTTGTGCTCCGACATCTTTCTCTCCAGGAGTTCCTTCCGCTTAGGTGCTTCCATCGACCAGAGCGGGTCATTGGTGAAGCTGAAGAGTCGCTCCTGCCACGAAATGCACCCTGCGACCCCGGTGGAATAGACAGTGAAATCTTGCCGACTCACCGAAAACACAGTGGATTGAGGCCATAGATGAGGTCGCACATTCTGTCCAGTTTGTGACGTTGCTTTGGAGCTGGGACTCTTCAACCAGTGGCTAGCTGCCTGGTTCAGTGATTTTTGCATGGAAGATATGGAAGGCAAAGGCACGGGCACATGTCCCACAGCGTCCCAGTGACTCAAATCATGTCCTCGTCATTGCACTCACAGCGAAAAGGTGCGAAACGGCGTGACATGCCGCCTGACATGTGGCCTTGGGAGGTGATCATTCCCTGCCTCCGAAATCACCGTGCTTTTTCGGTTGCTTCCGGTGTTCCACATGGAGGATATCCAGATATCATCTCCTTGATTCCTTCGTCGTCTGTCGTTCCGAACGTCCGTCCGACGCCACTCTCCGTGTCCCCGCCGGGTTTCCATCGGGTTGCGAACGGGTTCCTCCTCCTGCGGGTGTGAGAAGTGAGAGATGGCATCGTAGGAGATCAGCGTCAGCACCTGCGCGGGTCCGCGGCGATTGGGCGCAGGTCAGGCGGCGCTCACTGCTTTGGGGTAGTTGTTTCGCTTCAATCAGTCTTGTTTTGTGATGTTTTTATCCTTATTTATTGATTCTTTTTGGAGCGATGCGCCTCCCCCCACAAAAACATACAAAAACTGCTGGAGCCTCAGAGTATCTCAGAGTCATGTGATCCACATGTGATCCACATGCACTCTACCGTGGCCCTCTTTTGCTCCGAAATGGGTCTCCGAGAGCGGTGGGCTGGGTCGACTCAGTCGAAGAGGTGTCGACTTGAAGGTCTTTCATGTTCGGCCCTCTACAAGAGGAGGAGCCTGAAGCACCTTGGAAAGAATACCCTGGGACACCCTGTAGAAGCAGCCAGGAGTCTGAAGCTGGACAATTCGCCTGTTCAATACCCTGGGACACCCTGGGACCATGAAAGACTCATGTTTCTCGTTGGGTAATATGATATTTCACAATGGACTCACCATCAGCATCAATTCCAGAATCAGCCGAATCAGCTAACAGGGTAGAGGACGCTACGAACGTAACAAAGGGTTGTGTCTGCCAGACCCCTTTGTTCTAGAAGTTTTGCATCTTGAAAAAAAACAAAACAAAAGCAACAAAAAAGCAATCACAAAATGCAACCAGAAAAACAAAAGCAATCACAAAAGCAAAAAAAAGCAACCCCAAAATGCAACCAGAAAAAACAAAAGCAATCACAAAAGCAAAAAAATGCAAAGAAAAAAACAACCCCAAAATGCAACCAGAAAACAAAGCAATCATAAAAGCAAAAAACAAAGAAAAAAGCAACCCCAAAATGCAAATGTTTTACTACTACCACTACTACCACTACCACTACTACCACTACCACTACTGCTACTGCTACTGCTACTGCCTCCCCTACTACTACTACTGCTACTACTGCTACTACCACTACTACGACTACTACTACCACTACCACTACCACTACCACTACCACTACCACTACCACTACCACTACCACCACACCACCACTACTACTCCTCTACTACTTACTACCCCCAGCACTAGTCTAGCAAGGGCCTCTGCAGATTGACTGCAGATTCGGAATTCAACGCGTTGGAACCGAGCCTGGCGAGGGGGCTGGGTAGGGGTAGGGTTAGTGCCTGGGTGAGGACTTCCGGTCTTTTGGTCGCATTTTTTCGGCGCCGGGTCAGAAGTCGCACTTTTGGTCCCTTTTTTTTTTGGCGCCGGGCCAGAAGTCGCACTTTTGGTCGCTTTTTTTTTCGGCGCCGGGCCAGAAGTCGCACTTTTGGTCCCTTTTTTTTTGCTCTTTTTAGTGGTGCCGTGAAAAAAGTCGCACTTTTG